GGGAGAGACAGAGAGAAGTGAAGAAACAAAGAAAAGAATGATAAAGTATAATATGATTTATCATACTATCAATTGATTTATCAATTATCATCCCTATTCTATTAAAAATTTAATTTTGAAATATATTCCGAATGAAATTCGCAAAAACTTAATTTATTCCATTTTTTTTTTGATGTGTTATAGAAATTGCCACACTTCACGCTCATTTTTTAATAAAATTATTAATTTAAATTAAAATTTTTGAAAAAAAAAGTGTAATATTTTAAGTTATGATTGAAAATATAAGTAAGCATAAATATTATGAATGTAAAAATATTAAAATTTTTGGTGTTTTTATTGATTATTCAAAATTTTTTTCATTTTTTTTTCTTTTTTTTTGAAAATAAATTTTACAAAAGAAACAAAATTACAAATTTTGCATAAAATCTCACATACTATATTTCATATCACTGATATCACTGTAGATATTATTAAAATAAATAAATATTAATTAATTTAAATTTATATTTAATTAAAATATAAATATTTGTAATATTGCATTATATTATTTTTAAAATATTTTCATTTAAAAATTAAAATGAAATTTCAGGATCAATACATTTGCAGCAATGCTTCTCCGTAAATGTAAACGTTTAGCCGGTAAACCGGCAGATGTCACTCATTTGGATTTGATCCTGATTGCTTCAGGCTGTGGTACATTCCTTATTGCTTCAGGAGCTTATGTCTTTCATAGCTATGAAAAATGGACATATTTTGATAGTTTATATTACTGTTTCATTACTCTTACTACTATCGGTTAGTTAATTTATCATTTAACAATTATTTCCGTAGCAATAACCGGAAGAACAATAACCGGACGGAATTAAACCACCAAACCAAATTTACTGTAATTTTAAATTTAATGAAAAAAAAAAGCATTCATTAACAATTTTCAGTTAATTTATATCATTTTATTTAGTATAAAAGTAATTTTCCATCTCTAACTTCTTATTGCTTTTTCTTCAACTCTTTTATTATATGTTTAAAATTTATTTTGAAATTTCAGGAAATGTTTCCGGAAAAATTTTCTTGTTTTAGAATCATTTTAATGATAGCTCTTTCCTTTTTTTTTTAAAAAAAAAATCTTAATATACTTTTTTTTTGAAACTAATTTCTAAACAATTTACTTTATTATTATTAAAACAAAAATAATTATTATTAATTATTATTAAAAAATTATTATTGAAAATTATTAAAAAAATTACTATTAAAAAAAAAATTTTTCCAATTATTAATCCTTATTTACATACAATAATATTTTTGGTTAAAAAAAAAAAAAAAAAA